TTACAACTCCAAGGAAGGACACAGACTTCTGAACCCCATCTGAAGGACCTGCACTGAGGAGCGGGGAAGAGAAGCAGCATCTCAGAAACACTGTCTGCAGAGTGGGATTCCATCGATGAAAAGGGGATCTTGCAAGGACGTGTTAATGTGAAGTTACAATAAAAGTTCTGTTTGCCATTTAAAATGTTGTAACGGTGTGTACTGCATTTGGTGCTGGGGAGTGGGGATCCCTGTGTCCCGTCCAGCCAATTTTTATGGAGGCCCCACCCTGAGCAGGACAGGGCAGGGGAGAACGGAAATGGATCAGAAATGGCCTAGGACTGCGGCAGTTATAGTTTGCCTCCATGAGCCCATCAGAACCCAGTTGGCTCTGGAATGGAGACTCAACCCAGATGAAGGAATTACTGTGTCTACCACCCTGGTAAGGGCAAGAGACCCGTCAGACACATCGCTGAGGCCCACAGACTTAGTGGTGCATGATAATACTGATTTAGTTGACAACCAGGATGGAAAAAGTGTGAACATTTATGATTGAAGAGTATATTTGTTTATATCTATAGTAACACTCATAAAATAACTGTTTTATAAGCAGCTTTATTAGATATAGGAGCTCTGGTGGTATAGTGCCTAAGGCACTTGACTGCCCACCAGAAGGCTGGCAGTTCAAACCCACCAGCCACTCCTCGGAAGAAATGTTGGGCCATATACTTCCGTAGTGATACCTCCTTGGAAACCCAAGGAGGGGTCACTATGAGTTGGATCTGACTCCACAGCAGTGCAATTTTTTTTTTAATTAGATATAATTCTTATACCACAGATTCACAATTCTGAAGTGTACAATTCAGTGTGTATTATCTTAGAACATTTTCACCAGCCCACAAAGAAACGTCATGCCACTAGCAGTCACTCGTGGTTTCCCCTTTCCCTGGCAACCATTAATCTATTTTTGTCTCTCTAGATTTTCCGACTCTGCACTGTTCATACACAAGGAATCATGCTCACTCAAATGCACTGCTGTGAAGTCACAGAGTCCCCTCCTTGGGTTTCCGAGGCAGTGTCTCTATGGAAGTAGATTGCCCAGTCTTCCTTCTGAGGAGCAGCTGGTGGGTTTGAACCACCAGCCTTCTGGTTAGCAGGCAAGTGCCTCAGGCACTGTACCACCAGAGCTCCTGGAATCACATGCATAAGTAGTTTTTTTGGAACTAGTTTTACTCACTTAGTATAATGTTCTCAGGATTCATCCATGTTGTAGCAGGTATCAGTATATATTCCATTTAACTATTGAATAATATTCCATTTTAAGAATATACAGTTTTGTTTGTTCATTCATCAGTCCATAGCCATTTGAGTTACTTGCAGTTCAGGCTATCATGAATCATGCTGTCAGTATTTGTGTGCAGGGTTTGTTTGTGTACATATATCTTCAATTCTCTTAGGCATATGTTATGGTGTGTGTGTGTGTGTGTGTGTGTGTCTGACACTGTTGGATCATAGAGGGTAATACAGTATATAAAGAGGGGCTTTTGCTCCCTTTCCCTTCTCTCATTTTTCAGACGTGCTATAAGCTTTGTGGCCGTCCTCCTCTGTACTTGGTATTCTCTGTGTGTTGTGCTTTCAGTACCTCTTCTGTTTTTCTCTTCTCAAGCTTGTTTCTACTCAATTATTTGAGTTGTTTTTTATTAAGTTTCTTCTCATGATATCTTTTGTTGCATTCTTTTTATCATATTCCTTCCTTTTTTTAATTTTTATTTTTATTGGGATCTGGGTGAAAGTTTACAGAGCAAATTCATCTTCCATACAAGAAAGTACTGTTTCATCAGTAACATTAAGAAGCAAGCCTGGCACTGTGTTTCCACCAAGCACCCAGTCACGGTGGTCTGATCTAGGACCGTTCCGTTCCTTCCTGCGTGCTGGGTTGTGCGTCGGCACTGACTCTACAGTAGCTAACAGCAGTATGTTTTCTATTTGTATGTAGTATGTTTTTATATTAAAACATAGTTAATATGTTTTGCCTCCATGAGCCCCTGAGAATCCAGTTGGCTCTGGAATGAAGACTCAACCCAGATGAAAGAATTACTGTGTCTACCACCCCAGTAAGGAGCTCTGGTGGTGTAGTGCCTAAGGCGTTTGACTGCTAACCAGAAGGTTGGCGGTTCAAACACACCAGCCACTCCACAGAAGCAAGACTGGGCAATCTACTTCTGCAAGGATTTACCATCTTGGAAACCCAATGGGGTAACTGTGAGCGCAATGGCTTAGCACTGAGCTGCTAACCAATAGGTTAGTGGTTCGAACCCATCCAGCAGCTCCTCAGGAGAGAGATCTGCTGATCTGCTCCCATAAAGATGACATTGAAGACCCTGTGGGACAGTTCTGCTCTGTCACATGGCATCACTAGGAGTTGCAATCAACTCAGAGACGCCCAACAGCAGCCGATACTTGGAGCCAAGCAGTGAGAGTCTACAATTTGCTGTGTGAAGCATGGTTCCCTTTCTCCTTCTTTCCACTGGATTCTCCCACTGGGAAAACCAGCCCAGAGTCCTGGTAGAGACCTGGAGCCGTGAGGAGGAGAAGGAGGCAGTGCAGTAGCACTGGACTACGGGACGTAATCGTTGGAACCAACACTTGTAGTTAAAAGCCAAGACGTGTCCGTGGAGAGGCTGCTGGACACTGCAGAGTAGTGGGGAGAGAATGTGTTGGCTCGGGGAGGCCACCCTCCAACTTTCAAGTGATAGAGCAACACAGCCTTCTTACCCTGATCCTGTTGGCGGTAGTGCCGCCCAGTCAGCACCCGGCTGATGGCGACCCCACGTACCACAGGATCAGAGCCTTGCACTGTCTGGCGTTTTTGTGGGCTGATTTTTAGAAGCAGCTGACCAGGCCTGTCTTCCTAGTCTGTCTCAGTCCGGAAGCTGTGCTGAAAGTCATAGCTTAGCAAGCTTACAAAGGTCCTTCCCTGAGTCATAGCTGTCTACCCTCTAGGTAATACATACCCGTCCCAGGACCCCTCCAAGAAAACATATCACCCTCACCTTCAGCACATATATGGGGCGTGAGGTGGAGGCTGAGGTCCCTGAGGCCGGGACCTGCCTTGGTCTTCCTGTTGCGTGAGCTGCTTGTGGCTAGACAGCTACGTCCAGTTAACGGTCTCGACTACCGTTTCTCATGAAATGGCGCATTTTCTGAGAAGAACGTGGGGCTTCCTAACAGAAAATTGTCACTGCCATTGAGGTGATTCCACCTCCCAGAGACCCCCATTGGGTTTCTGAGGCGGTAAATCATACAGAAGTGGGTTGCTCCGTCTTCCCTCAGCAGAGCAGCTGGCGGGTTTGAACCACCAACCTTCTGCCAAGCAGTCAGATGCCTTAGGCACTGTGTCCCTGGAGGTCCTTTACAGAGACCCTCAAATTTTACCCTCACTATGGCTCTACTTATTCAGTCCAAATAAGTGATTCTTGATGATGTCAGCATGTTCATCTTAACAGGCAAGGAGGTCATGTCTTCAGAGGAGTGAGTTGGCCAGTGTCTGAGTGTCATTCACACAACCAACAAGCATAATCACTTGAATGTTGACATCTGGAGTGTAAAATCATCTCCACAGATTGTCTGACCATGGCAGGCTT